TTTTTTTTTTTTTTTAGCTTTTGGTGCATTTTCAGACGCAGCGTTGGATTCTCCCGAACTCTCCGAGAGTAACCATCAACTCCATGCTGTTGAGTCTTGCCAGATGAAGATGAAAAGCTATCTCCAAAAGCTATGCAATCTTCAGAGCTAGACCCAAGGCCTTCAACTCACGACCCGCATATCAACACGAAACTGTCAACCCGAAACCGTGGACGCCGGATCCTCAACCTGAAGCAAGTCAGCAGCTCAAAGCCGTAGAGGGTTGCTATGAGCTGAGAGCCTGTATCGGTCATGGCTCAGATGTTGAGGCTTTGGGCTTGGAGCCTGGGGCCTTGAATCGATAAGTATTCAGCTTGCATCTATACACAACTATGAACCCCGATACCGTAAATGGTTTCGATTGATCTTGGTTACAAGGACATCTCGAAACGGGCCCAAATTGTTTAAATCCTGTACCCTACGCTGTCAACTAAACCCAAACACCTACACCCTAAAGCAAGTTGATAAACTCCCATGTTTACCGAGCCAGCCTGAGCCAACAAGCGGAGCTTTTGAGGTTTCAGGGATTCAAGGTTTCATGTGCTTGGAAGGGTTTAGGGTGTAGGGAGTTTCGAATGGATTTTGGGTGTGAGGTGGGTTTTGGGGTTAGTGGTTTGGGGTCAACAAAGTTACCCTCACAGCCCCTGAGCTCCCCATCGCGAACCCTAGAACCCCAAAGCCTTACACTGAAAAGTCGTCCCAACCCGAAATCCTGTCTTTTGCAGTTCCTGTTCTTGGTGACAGGGAACCACTTTTGATTCGGATAGCTGAAAGTTCTCCTATTTGGGAAAACCCTGACGTGTAAGCCAATGCCCGCCCTCTTAACCCCCAAATCCTAACCATCACATTTAACACCACCACGTCCCAGGACCCGAAGACCCAACGTTCGCATGGCCCAATCCTCAACCATGCGGCCCGAAGCAGAAATCCCATCCACAGAACCCCCCCCAAGCCTTAAACCCTCAACCCTACGCTTTACAACTCTGGTCTGACATGCTCCTGCACCCTAAGCTCCCAACCCAAAACTCGAAATCCTGAGCCCTGGCCCTGCTTTCTGGACACTCAGCTGAAGACCCCACGCTGTAAACCCTAATGTTCCCGCTTGACACAGCCACAGACGAAAAATGCAGAGGCCAGGACCTGCCGGACGCGCACGAGCGAAGCTAGTGCTGGCAAGCAGGCTAAGGGAGTGGGTTGGCAAGATAGTCAGTTTTGTTTATTCTATTACTTGCAGGAATCATGGTTGCAATTCTGGAACAGCAAAAAAACAAAAGTACATGTGTGCATGCGTGCACATTTAAGTTTTTGGGGTAGCATGAGTGGGATTAGGGTTTTGGCGTGGGATGTTGGGGTCTGGGGTTCTGGTGTACAGTTTGGAGGTGTAGTGGTGTACTGCTGTGCGAGTGGTAAGGTTACAGGATTTAGCCTTAATTTCAGGGTTTTAGGTATACGTGCGTGGGGTTTAGAATTCGAGGGTGTAGGTTTCATGGGTTTAGGGCTTCAGGTTTAGACGTTCATTGGTCCGGGATTGGGTTTAGGTTTAGGTTCAGGTTCTAGGACTTTAGGTGGTTGTTTATGCGGTTGGCCGTGGAGGGCTTGTTAAGAAGAGTTTTATGGCCTTTCGCCACCTCTCGTTAACAACGAACCCCCCTGTTTTTGGAACGCAACATTCTTGAGATAGTGCAGACATTTATATTGAAAGATACCACCTTCCCCAAGATGGTAACGTCCTGACCCCTCAGCCAAGCAAGTTGACTGCAAAGCTAAGCCCCTGAACCCTAGTCATGGCCTGTTAAGGAGGGAGGCAGCGAGCTGTTGCTGACCTTCCATGAGCACTTCGCTCATGTGTCGTGCCGTGGCGGCGAGGTGCACTTTTCAATGGGCACCACGGATGAGTGGCTGGTCTACAGAAGTTTGCGCAGGTATGGGATCGAGTTTCGGTTTCAGGAGGGTTTATGTAGGGTCTAGGGTGTAGGTTGTGAGTATTTGGGCTTTCAGGTCTACCTTTTCTAGGATTCAGGCTTTGTTGGCAACTAAGCCCTCTGAACGAAGAAGTATCGCGAAGATCGGGATTAGAGGGGTTCGCCAGGGCCACGGGGTCTAGCCGCACAATTGAAACAGAGACCCAAGAGGGTCCCTGTAAAGATGACAGCCTCTTTTCGAAAGGTATTTTTGGGTTTGCCACTTTGTTTTGTTTTAGATTGCGTGCTCGGGACGTACAAAGAAGAGCCTTGGGGTCTCCTAAAGAGTTGGCAGCCGATGATTGCTAAGAAGCCTACATTCCAAACCACTTCATGACTGCACGGTTGTCCGCCTAGCAACTCCGGGTTGTCATTTCAGGGAGTTCAGGGCGATCATGGGGGACCATTTGAGAGCTGATTTGAGGAAACCTTCCATATCATACCTTTGCAAAGGAATACGTTGTTATCCTCCCAAAATGCATTATAAAAGCATGGCAACATCAAATGCAGGCGTGGTGTGATTGTGAATGATTTCATACCTCTCTGTGGATTTGCATAGCCTCATTGTTGGCTAGAACATACAGGGAGCAATCCACATCATCCCAACATCATCCTTTTTACGCGGATCAAAGAGATCACACGCGCGTTCTAGCTATGATTCTTATTTCTCATTAGGTCTATGAAGAGTTCAACTCTACTGGGGGTTGTACCTTTTTAGTGCATATCCTGCCCTATCGGCACAATTCATTCTTCGTATGAGCAATTCTCAACATCAAGATACCCCATATGCCGCTTCAACCAAATGAGTCCTGAAGAGTCGTGCTTGTCAACGGGAACTCCAAAACCTTAATCCCAAACTTGCCAGCCCTTAGCCCCACTACTGGTCTTGCCTTAAAGCCCTAAACCTTACACCTTGAACGCCAGAAACGGCTAAGCTCCAATACCATAATGCCCCAAAGAGCCCAGAACCAGGTGGCGGGTGGAGCTTTCCACAGAGCCGGAAGTGCAAGGAACCATCTTTCATCCATGGCCTTGATGGAAGAAAAGAAGCGCCACGAAAACCCTTAAAACCTGAAAACCCAAACCCTAGACCCTAAACGCTAATCGTAAACCCTAGTGGCCTAAACACAGAACTTTAAATCGCTAAGGAAGCCGTTTTGGCCCTGAACAATCAAACAGAGGTTATTGGTATTCCTTCAGGCGCCTCGAATTTAGAGCTTATGCGCAAAACTTGCCGGATTTGTATTGGTCGTCTTACCCGGACATTTTCAACAAGGGTACCACAAATGCCTGCTCATAATTCTTCTTTGGGCGTTGCAGGGTCTCAGTCCAGGAT